CATCACCATCTCATCACCATCATCTCATCACCATCACCATCTCATCACCATCATCTCATCACCATCACCATCATCACCATCATCTCATAACCATCACCATCACCATCATCTCATCACTATCTCATCACCATCTCATCACCATCACCATCTCATCACCATCATCTCATCACCATCACCATCTCATCACCATCATCACCATCATCTCATCACCATCACCATCTCATCACCATCACCATCTCATCACTATCACCACAATCACCATCATCTCATCACCACCATCTCATCACCATCACCATCATCTCATCACCATCACCACAATCACCATTATTTCATCACCATCGCCATTATTTCATCATTATCACCATCATCACCATCATCTCATCACCATCACCACCATTATCATCATAATCTCATCACCATCATTTCATTGCTATCACCTCATCACCATCACTACCACCATCATCATCATCATCTCATCACTATCACTACCACCATCATCATCATCTCAGTCACCATCACCATCATCACCGCACCACTTCCATCAGCAGAAGTAGCAGTAGCAGCAGCCTAACCCGAGGATCAGAGGATAGGTGGCCATGAGAGATGAAACTGGCACAGGAATCCCTGCAATCATGAGCTCCATTTCAAACCCTGCGCTCTCCATTTGCTAGTGGCTGCTTCCCCTGTCAACGTCATGAGCCCCAAGCTAGAAGGGCTGTTTTTGCGTATTTCTTTCTCTGGCCACACCAAAGAGAGACAGCCCAGAAAACCTTTTTATGCACAGTTGTAAATTTATGGCCCTGTTGACATTTTCACAGTCTAGTGTGAAAAGATAACTCAGAGAGGTATTTCACAATGAAGCCCTCATTTTTTTCTCTTTGAACAGCAGAAAGCAAACTCTGTAATTAATGACTGTCAGCTTGGGGTTAACTGGGAGCTTGGGGGACAGGGCTGGGGTGACAGGCAGAAAAGTCAAGACAAGTCTCAAAGGACATCAGCATGGATTGGACGAGACCAAAGGGAGAGGAGCCGAGGGCTTTTGCTTCCCCATGGCCCTGTGGAAAAACGGGGTGGGACTGCCTCTCTCCCCACGCCCCGACTCACGGGTTCAGGAAAGGAGGCCTGGCCTGCTCACTGGACTCTTAAGCCAACTGTGAAGTTCAGCACCTTGGAAATTTCCTAGGGCTCAGAGCCAAAGAATGATCAGCCTGGTCAGTTTGGAGACCTTTGTGCTGTGAGGTCACTGTGGCCTGCTGTAACTTCCCAGTCAAATATTTCAGAACCTACACAGGTCCAGCTCTAGGTCCCCAAACTCGAAATTCAGTTCAATAGAACTGAATGTCTGTGTTGTTAAGCAACCACATCTCATCTAAATGGGGTTTCGTCACCAGTTCCAGTCACCTGCAACATTTTCTTCAGGTTTTGTTTCACTGAGTAATTCACTTCAGGAGATTCATTTATTCATCTGAGCTGTGGGTGACATACCAGATGTTTGGAATACAAAGCATATTTAGACACAAAGCAGCAGAGGGGAAAGGGACAAACAAAAAGGTTTGAATTACAACTCTGTTGCTTACAAGTTGTCTGGCCTTGGGCAAGACATTTATTCTCCCTAAGTCTCAGTTTTCTCATCTGTGAAATGGGAACATTAATACCATGAAGTTATTCCATACATCCAGAAATAATAGATATATTTTTACTGGACAAAGATAAGTGCTCTGGGCCTTCCAGCTGATCAGGGTAGTCTGGGATTTTAATATGATACCCTGACAAAACATACAAGGGTTACCAGGAGGAGTCTCCGGGTGCAGGCAGGGTCCTCTATAGAGGCACGTTCGTGGTTGCTTAACAACATGGACATGTTCTGAGAATGCGTCGTTAGGTGATCCTGGTGTTGTAAACATCACAGAATATAATAATACTCAAGCCTAGATATTCTAGCCTACTGCGCACCTAGGCTGTACGATACAGTCCATTGCCCCCAGGCTACAAACCTTACTGCAGGTTACTGTATTGGATATTGTAGGCAATCAAAACACAATAGGAAAACACAATAGTTGCTTTTCTGTGTTTAAATAGCTCAGAAATACACAGGTATTTTTATTTCTAAATAAAATGCTGAGCCCTCTGTTAACTGAACTGACCCCTCTCAGCCAAGGGGACCCCAGAAATACCTTAAAACTCTATTCCCAGTTGTGACAGGATGGGAGATTAAAAAAAAAAAA